ATAGACAATACTGTAAAATAAAAATCACAATAAAATAAAATTAAAATAACAATAAAATAAAATTACAATAAGATAAAGATAAAATTTAAATTAAAAACAACGTTGACTTAAGTTAACTAAGAAATTAAAAATGATTAGTTGTATTTGCATTAATTAAGTCAAGTTGCATTAAGTCAATAGGTAGTACCTACCCACCTACCTATTTAAAATCTCAATTGTATATTTAATATGGAATTAGTAAGATATTTAGTAAGATCGTGACTTACTTATGTCTAAGGAAATGCTCGGGGCCTCAGTTGAGACGAGATTGGGACCAGTGAAAGTCCTAGGATAGCCGTAGCCGTAGGTTTGACTCCAATGGATTATTACTGCTTTTGTTCCGGCTAAAGATTAACTGTCACAGGAATTGTAGTCTTATTATTAGGTGGTAGAATGGGTTTTGGTGTAGCAGTGTGTGTTACGGCATAGATTTGTGATTTTAATGGTATCATTATCTTTGTTTGTCTAATGTCTTGTAATTATTGGATATTGATTGTGAATCTAGAATAGGTACGTAAATTAGATACCTAAGACTACCATCATAAGGTACCAATTTTCGTCAGCATTCGTCTACAATGATATCTAGGTACCATTTAAATATAGTATCACAGTTTGAAAGACCAGCAGTTGTAGCCAAATGACATTTACCTCTTGTCTACATGTAGAATAGAAAACCAAATTATATGGAATTGACGTGTATTTTAACGCTTGTCAGTGTCATCCCCATATATTTAGTTTTTTTTTTATGGCACAAGCCCGTAAACGTGCAGACGGATCACCTGATGGTAAGCAATCGGCGTCGCCCATGGATACCTGGAACACCGGAGGCGTTAAAAGTGCGTTACCGGCCTTTTGGGGATTAGGAGTTTGAGGATCGTTGGGGATTCAGGGATTGGGGAGATTGGGGAAGGAGAGGGTAATTGGGCCGATAACCTCCGATAACCTCACTCACACGACGAAACACAACGCAAGCGTTGCTTCACGTCCGTTTTCTGTGAGGTTCTGTTAGTTATCTACTCTCTCTGTAGACAAGCGCTAAAGTGGCGTTTGGCTAAAGGTGCTAGGAGTTTAACTCCCAATCACATGGCTACTAGGAAATCATACAACGATTATGCTAAGGTCAATATAAAAATCAAACTGCCAAAAAGGTTTTATTTTGCAAAGGTTAGTCAACCAAACATGGTAAGTAGTAATTATAGTATTGTAAAATTAATCAAAGTTATATTTTTATCGAATAAGACGCTAGCATATCTAGGCACAGGCGTGTTAAAAATGTTATTATCTGTGATGCAAAATTTTATATTTAGTATTGTATAATTTCGACATAGCATGTAGTGATTCATTATCGTTATCAACAGCCCGTTCGGTCCAGATTCATGCATCATCATCGATAGCTTATTAGAGTCTTCTATGAGCCTTCTTTACAACAGATGGGGTTGTCTTAGCATCCACACGAAGCAAGTGGATCGGAGACCGCAGTTTAAAAAGATCAGGGTGCTTAGGTACTCTTAAAACCAATCTCAAATAATATTTCAATGTCAAAACTATACAACCCCTACCGTAGCTGTTGAAATACCAATTAGAGTACGGGATATAAAGCCAAACTCAATATCATTTAGTTCATTCAATATCCACGCAATACGGATGCAATGGGCGCCAGTGTTACAACTCGAGACTACGAAATTTCACAATATCAATGTCGATCGGTCGGAATTAGATTCAAGAGTAAGCAGGTTCATCAGGTTCATCACCCCAGGTTCATCAGAGAATGCTGCGGCGCAGCCTCTGTTCTTCTGGAATTACGGGTGTCCTTGGGCGGGGCTGATCGCTTCACCATGTGTTCTGTCTGCTCGTTGACCCATATCGATTAAAACAAAACCTTTTTATTGAACTATTGGTCTGTGTATTGCGTTGCCACCTGTACCTACTTACCTACCTACGTAATACAGGTCAAAAACATAATATTTTTTCATATCTGCAATACGAAACTTAAGCCTTGTTCCGTTTTCCAACAAAAGGATCACAATTTCATAACTTTTATTGTGCTTTATGACTATTTATTATTAAATTATGACAACAACGGGAAATGTTTTGCTATTTTGAACCTTATTCTTTAGAGTGTAATGGTTATAGGCAGTAAAAAACAGTTGCAGAAATAGAATAGTTAAAAAAAAGTATCTGTAAGAAATGTTTGCGAATTGCAATGCGTTCTGTATTGAACTCTAGGTCGATTTCACTTAAACGCTTACCACCTTATTATATTAGTTTCTGAAAACTCGGGTCTCGTAACTAGATTTTAACGAGGACCTACCTATAATATACGTACCATGCATTTATTTTATTTTACTTCCCAATTGAGTTAAAAGTGATCGTCAATATCCTTACTATATATAATATTATAAATCGGAAAGTGAGTTTGTTTGTTTGTCTGTTTGTTCCACTTTCACGCCGTAACTACTAAACCGATTGCTTTGAATTTTTGCAGGTGTAAAGTTAGAAGTCCGGATTAAATAATAGGGTACTTTTTATCCCGTGAAAATTTGATATTCCCGAGGAAAAACAAAAGTATTGGCATAGATGGCGCTGTGTGTATTGGTATATGTCACATTGGCATTTTATCCTTTTGTGACGCGAGCGAAGCCGCGGGTAAAAGCTAGTTGACTTATAAAGTTCTAAGCTAAAATATTATTTCTGAATCTCATAAATAGGAAAGCCGCTGCTGCTGACCAGCTACCAAAAAAGTGTGTATGACCGACTGCAGCTTGTTTGCCTCCCCTCTGTTTCCCACGAAAACTGTTTTTTAGTCTTTTTTTAAGTCTTTTAAACACTGTGTAAACGATATCTCGAAGATAGATTATATAGACATATAGTACCTACCTATAGTAGGTGTGAATATGGCCCTAAATCACGTGTCATCTATATTAGAAATCCTTGAACGGATAAATTAAGCAAAAGGTGCAAACGCATATAGAGTTAG